TTCAATTTTAAAAAAAAAAAAGCATTGGTAGTGATGTCAATAGCAACGATGAGAAATCCGACAACAGTTTTTAGAACAAAAAATGAATTGATCGATAGATTCAAGGACAAGAATAAGAATCAAACGCAAAGAATGAAGATCAAATTCGTGCTTAATGATTATAATATATATGCCTTAGAAGAGGTCGATAAAGAACTGTTACTGTAAAGACACGATAGGGTTACAATGTGATTCATTCAAAACACTGCGCATGCATGCACAATCTATAGTCAATCCCTAATCATTAAAACATCGGGTGGACAGGCCCAAACCATTACACAAAATGGACTATACACAATATATACAATTGATGTAATCCATAATAACCCAACAATCTCCCCCTTTGTGTCAATTATGGAAGGAGACTCTTCACGGTTGTGTTCGTTTCTGAGTCTTGAAGAGCTTGGGCATAAGACTAAGCAGAGTATTGCGAACTGCTATATACCATCTGATCATATCCGAATAGCACTTCTTCACAGCGTCATCATTCACTTTACAATTCCCAATGATCTCCAAAACATAGTTCAAGCATGAAGTGGAGAACCGATGTTTATAAAGCAAAGCATATAAACATTTCTGAACATTTCCACTTTCTTTCGAACCTCATTGAAACATAACACTCCAGTTGTCTTTTTCAATCTTCCCCAACTTCATCTTGTTAATATCTTTCGCAACAGCTTGAGGAAGCATCGTTGTTTTCTTTCGGAGCACAGATGCAATTTCAGCATCCATTTTTCCTACTTCAAGGATGTATGAAACCAACATTCTCTTGATATGTGCCATAATGGGTTCATACTTCTGTTCGTTTGAACAGGTCCAACCACCTTCACAGCTCTAAGAACTCTAAGAACCTCGAGCCATTTTAAACTTGGCATTGACGAAGCTGTCGGTTTTAACAGGTCCAACCACCTTTACAACTTTTATTTTCATTGCACTCTAATTGTGTGTTGGGGCTTACCATGCTTCAGGTAGAATGCAATAAGGGACTTATTAACATTTTCATTCGAATCTAGAGTGTTCGAAATTCTCTCAAAACACCAAAACAAGAAGGATTTCGGAGTAATAGGAAAATCGAGTTGTGAATCCAAAGTGTTCTCCAGATCGAAAGAAATGACTGACTCTAACCAATGAATACTTGGGCTGTCAACTGTTTCGTTCAGGATTTTATCCAAAGTTCAAGGAAGAAATAGAGCCTTTTTAGCTTCAAGAGAAATCTGAGCATCACGAAGCTCTTTTTTACGTGCTTTTTCCACCCTTGCAATTCTCAAGTTCGCATCCAACTCTTGATCACGAGACTTCCTTTTAAGTTTTGCATTTTCATCTTCTCTTCTTCATCATCATCATCGATGATATTTTCCTTTCCTTTTGATCCCGAAGCTACATTATCCTTCGGATCAACATTCGACTTTGGCTTTTGATCATGCTCAACAGTAGTGTCGGCTGGTTTCTGAGTGGCAGGTTGCTTGACAGATTCTCCCCTTGTTTCAGAAGTGAGTCGGACTCCAAAACACCCTCAAGCCTGTTAAGCATATAGAAAATTGGCTTAAGCTTATCAGCCAGATGTTGCCTTACAGAGACCGTGAGAAGAGAATCATGAGTCTCGATGATATTGGTCAAGTAAGTATTCACGTCAGCAATGCAACTCTTCATCACTGCTTTCTCGGACTTAAGCTCATCAATCTGCGAATTCGCTTGAGCCAATTTCAGCGAGAGAACCTTCGCCTTCTCAGTTTTAACGGCAAGCTCATCCATTATTATGTTCTCAAGCGCCAAATCTTCTTGAAGCTTGTCTATTTTGGAAGTGATAGAAGTTTCAAAAGTCGTATGATCAGACTAAAGTTTAGTACGAACCTTGTAGTAAGGCTTGTGATCACTTCATTTGCCTTGGCAGTGTTAGTTTAGAAGGATGTCCGGAAATCACCCATGAACGTTGTAACATCAGAAAGTAGTTTATCGACTTTTTCGGTCATTTCCTTGCAAGTTGTCGCGGAATCAGAAACTGCCTTGTTGGTGAGAGTAAGATTTGTAGCATGCTCCTTGGTAAGTTTTTCAAGGAATGCCTTGACAATATCCTAAGAAAATTCACTGTTAGAGGAGGATTTGGTGGACTCAAGCAAAGAATCCAACTTCTCATTGATGCTTTGAGTTTCCCTTTAGTGACTGGAGCGTCATCATCACTTTCTTCTCGAATGTTAAAAGGACTATAAGTGAAATCTCCAAAATCGTCGCCATCATCACCGAAAATAGTGTCCAAATCAACTTGTCTAAGAGGTGAGATGTGAGATGAATCATGACCTAGAGTGACACCTGAAGCACCTGCCCTCGTATCAAACATGTTGACAGTGACTGGAGGTGTCTTGTGGTGGTGGTTGTTGTTGTTGTTGTTGTTGAGTCTATGAACAGAGGAGTGGATTGTCCAATACTGGCTTGTGGTTGTGAAACTCCTATAGAGACAGTTGAACATGGAGCAATTGTGACAGGTGTAGTAGTGGAAGTAAGGGAAGAAGGAGGAGTAAAGCTCTGAAAGAAGTCATCGGTGAGAGGAACAGACTGGGGCATTGAAAATGTTACCTCTGGATTGATTGTTGATGGCTCAGAAACCATAGTATGTGAAGTATCAGTTGTGTCAACGGTTTCGTGTTGGACTTCCTCTTGTGTGAAAACGTCAGAGATGGTGTTAGACTACGAATCCTCCTCATCACTTAGTGTTGGAGTTCTCGACTTGCGATCAGCTCGCTTTACTTTCTTCTTTGGAGTCTGAGCAGGTTCGGAGGGTCCTGCCTTTGCTTTTCGTTTGCCTCCTTTATTGGGTTTGTCAGCATCCTCTAGAACCTATTGTGTGGCAGTGGTCAACAGACGAGGACCAGAAGCTGGTAGTCTACGATATTCAGTGATGACAACACTGTCTGCTAGAACATGGCAAAGCATCGTCTCTAGAATAGACCTGATGAAGGTAAACCATGAACTTTCCGACAAAATAACATTGAAAGTATGGAAAATGGGAATGGCAGCAATTATCGAACCCTCTATCACCGGAATATTGAGGCGTGCAATCGCCCTCTAAACAATGATTGCCCAAAAACGTGCACATGAAATGTCGTTATGCCTTGTTGCAGAAAGTGTACTCTGGACCAGTTCAGCCCTAATCACTGACCCATAATCCAAATTGACTCCTGAATAGACACCATACATGATAGTTAGAAACATCTTACTAGCACAGTCGGATCTAGTTACCCTCTCCGAGAAGCTTTTGAAAATTAGGGTAAATAGCTCATTCCACATGGGTGGAAGGTTGGGCTTCTTGAACTTAGAGACCACATCAAGATATTCATGGTAACCCATCTGGTAAAACATCTCCAGAATGGCATAATTGGGGATGAGCTTTGGATCGACCAAATCCATATCGGAGGGGAACCCCATCAATCGACTGAATCTTGACTTTGTGATGGAGGTTTGTTGATTTTCCAGCTCGAAAGTAACTATGGCAGTATTTGCTTCTTAATGAGCAGTGGAGTAAGCCTTGGAGAGAAGAGAAAATGGAACATTCTCAGTCTTTGATAGAGCTGTAGCCAACGGAGAATGTCGCAGGCATTCAATCAGCTGTTAGAGAAAGGCATCGTACTTGGATGGATCCAGGTCTAGGATGAGATTCTGGTTAGCCTTGATGTTAAGCTGAGTTGATTGAGCCATTTTCTCAGCAACGAAATGAATTTCAGAAGAGACCGCCAATCTTGCTTGGTAAGGAAGATGATGAACAGTAGAGAGCAATTTTTCGCCCGGAAATTCGTGAGCTTTGAAAGTGGTAACAAATAACGAAGCATCGAAATCCTTTTATACGGTATGATAGGTGAGAGAAATCCGGTGGTTGGTAATCCTAAATTACAGAAAAGCCATCTAAAAAGATGTAAATGACAGTTGTGACGTCAGGTGGCATAACGGACAGCATGTTGTCAGGCAAAGTTTGAAATTCCACACGCCTAAAGAGCAATCTTATCCCATAAAAATTGCCATTTCATTTGGACACTTTCGCAATTGATCACCATATCCTGTTTTGTGAATCTAAAAATAACCATTTGGACAACTAACCAGACTTTTCAAAATCACAAGGATCTTCGTGCAAGAGTGTGCCAAAGATAAAGAAATAAATAAATATAATTATATGAGATTCAAGTAATGTCTTAATGGAAATAAAGCAGATGGATCCCGGGAAACGATCTCTTCCTCCAGAGTCAAGAGAGACTCTGAAGTGTCTGTGTGGTATCCCGTTGAATGACGATCATCTGTTTGTTGAAAAACAGTGAAAGGCTTCTTTTTAATAAGGCGAAAGGGTGGCTTCATCTTCTACCAAACTCTGAAACTCAATATAAGTCCGATCGTTCGAAAGAAGTACTTTTCTAACCAGTGTAGTGATAAGAACAAGTATGCTTTGGAATTTTATAAGTGGCCAGATAAAATAAAGAAATCTCAAGAAAAATAAAAACTGGAACTTATGGGAAGAAACGTCTTAGGTCTAGAACATTTCATTAAGATCTCACAAAAAAATAAAAGGAGATTTCAAGGTACTAACCACGAAGGTGGATATTGGTGAATTCCATGGTGAAAAATCTAGAACATTTTATTTTTTCACCGTCAATTCTGAAATTTGTGTTGGGTTTTGGGTTTCACTCAATTCGTGGTGATAACGAATTTAAGATCATAAACATAGATGTTGTGTAACCATAAACCTCAATGGTAATATCTTAGAGTCTCAAGGGTTACGTTCATGGAAACAAAAATAATGGAGAAGGAGTGGGAGGTGGTTCCGAAGAGAAATTTACTTCTCCTATACGAAAGTAACCAAGCAATCAACTCTTAACTCAATATGAGAAGAGTAAGGTAGCTCAATGACCTATGCAAATTGTTAGCCTGATTGGGAAGAAATGATTGGTATTATCAATTCATTAAGGCTTCAAACATAGAGTCTCAAAGACTTTGGACTACATGCAGCAACATGCTTCTAAGGACACTTAACTAGTGCATAGTTTCAGAATTTTATACTTGTCCTTTCTTTCAGAATTGAGAGCATCAAGAGTATATACCTATAGAAAAGAAAATAAAGAAAATATTTTTGTATTTTGGATTTTTCTAAAAAAGGAATAAAAACATAAACAAATTAGTAGCAACAAACAAAATATACAAAACGATACAAGAAGTTCCGAAACTCTGAATGAACAGTGGACTGCGAGTCGCTACGAGCGTTCGCACCAATTCACAACATGAACAGTGGACTACGAATCACTATGAGCATTCGCACCAATTCGCAGTATAACCAATATGTTACTAATGCGAAGGTAGTTTCGGAACAGATTCAAACTCTATTATTCCTAAGCCTTAAAGAATTCGGATAAATGTTTGTTCAGGTAAGGCTTTCGTAAAGATGTCGACCAACTGATCAACGGATCTAACAAAGTGAATCTCGACATTTCCATCTTCCACATGATCTTTTATGAAGTGATACCTCAGTGCGATGTGTTTGGTCTTGGAGTGTTGCACTGGATTGTGACAGATGCGAATGACACTTTCAGAATCACAGCATAAGGGGATTCGCTTCATATTAATCCCATAGTCACAAAGCTGACTTTGTATCCAGATAAATTATGAGGTACAAGAGGCAACTGCAATGTACTCAGCTTCAGCAGTCGATAGAAAAACACAAGTTTGTTTCTTAGATTGCCAACTGACGAGTTTTCCATCAAGAAATTTACATCCTCCCGATGTACTTTTTCAATCTAGACCACAACCTCCAAGATCAGCGTCGGAAAACGCTGGCACAAAGAACCCTGAGCTCGAAGGGTACTAAATTTTGAGAGAGGTTGTTCGTTTAAGATATCTGAAGATGTTTTTGACAGCAATCATGTGGGGTTTGCGAGGATGTGCTTGAAACCTGGCACAATAGCAAACATAAAATATGATGTCTGGACGACTAGCAGTTAGATACCTCAATGAACGTATAATTTGATGATAGAGTTTCATATCAAAAACTGGTTTGTCTAATGATGGTGTTAGTTTTGTTCCGAATGCCATTGGAACCTTCACCTTCAAATCTCCCACCATTCTAAACTTCGCAAGTAAGGTCTTCGTATAAGCCTCTTGGTTGATAAAGATTCCATCCTGACTCTGTCTTATATTCAAACCGAGGACAAAATTAATCGGATCCATTGAGCTCATCTCAAACTTAGTTTCCATCAACTTTCGGAACTCAACAGTTAATCTAGGATTAGTAGATCCGAAAATGATATCATCAACATAAATTTGGACGATCATCAAATGGTCACCATCTTTCTTGTGAAAGAAGGTTGGTTCCGCTGATCCTTGTTTAATTTTAGCCTGTTTTAAAAATCAAGTAAGAGTTTCATACTAGGCTCTTGGAGCTTGCTTCAGACCATAGGTTGCTTTATCCAAAATGTAACAGTGGTTAGGATACTTTTCGTTTACGAACCATGGTGGTTGTCCCACATATACTGTTTCTTCAAGTTCCCCATTCAAAAAGGCACATTTGACGTCCATCTAATACACTTCAAAGTTCTTGTGAGATGCATACACCAAGAAGATGCGAACTGATTCCAGTCTTGCAACCAGTGCAAAAGTTTCCTCATAATCTATGCCTTCTT